GCTACAATGTAGCTTACCATGTGAATGGGTGGATGACTGGATATGTAAAGCGCTTTGGGGTCCTTAGGGACTAGTAAAGCGCTATATAAATACAGGCCATTTACCATAAAAACATTTTTAAAAAAAGCTCACAATTGAGCTGTACACAGACATACCTGCTCAGTAAGATGCGTGACTTGTGCTTCCAGTTCTTTCTCTCCTTTGGCAGGAGTTGACACGGATGTGGGGATCTTTTTGGCGGAAGAGGGTCTGGATGTTGGCGTTGAAGACTTAGGAGTAGTAGAGCTCGACCTGGATGCTCCTGCAGCAAAGAAATATTTATGAATAAAGGGTCGCTTGTCACTATATCTGAGTGTAAACTTGACAAATCAGACCCAATAATCACAGGAGCTGATATATGAGCAGGAAAAGTAACAGTCTAGCCATTTGATACCCTATACATCCAGTGCAAAGGTGTCAAAAAAAATGTGCAGATAACAGTAAGCATACATGCATAATTTATAACCTTCGTTTTGTTTTATTCATCAGTTGAATCTTACCTGCGGTAGGAGAACTGGCTGCATGGTGAGACTTCTTTGGCAGGTTGAAGATTTGCTCACCGGGATCAGGCGGGGGGATGGCATCCTGACCCTGCCTGGCTGCAACTGGGTCGTAATCTTTGCCGTCGTAATTGGCGTCAAAGAACTTCTTAAACCACTGGATGAAATCGAGATTGTCCTGAAATCTGCCTTTGACCAGTTTCTCCACAGGAATAATCTGAACAAAAAAAAAAAAAAAGACTGTTAAAACCCCCGAACAGTAAAGCAAGGTGAAAAAAAAGAAAAAAGAAAAAAAAAAGGTACAAGATATTCAGGACACTCACCTTGTCCACGTTCATCCTTTTGAAGGATGCCTGCAGCAGTTTGAAATTGTGAATGTACTCGTGTTCTAGTTTAGCTTGAAACTTGACCTTCTTAAGACTGATGCAGCCAGGGAAGAGCAGATCCATGAACTGGCAATAAGCAGCTCCTAAAGAATTATTAATAATAAAAATAGTTAAGCACCACAAGAATAATTATGTATGTGGGGGGGTGGGGGGGGGTGGAGAGCAGAACACTGAAAAACATGCCGTGAATAATCCTGACCACACTCTGCACCACTTAATCTCTAACAGACTGATTGTGCTACCACAGTTACAGGAAATCTTTTCTACTCGTGCAATAACTCTTTAAAATACACACGTCTGTCGGGCAGGGAATCATCTGTTCTCCCGTGTTAACAGCTTAAATAAACTCTGCAGTCAGAACACTTAAAACTGTGTACAATAAGCAACTTTATTGCACTGCACTGTTATACGGAGTCACTTGAACGTGATTTGATATTTACTGTGTTGTTACTTCGTTTAGCCAGATTTTTTATTTTCTTTTCTTGGTTAAATTCGAGATATTTTACTTTGTTATAATATATTATTACCTATTATTTCATCTTTCCAGCCTGTCCTGGGTCTGTCCTGCTAGCAAGATATGTACAAAACACTTCACCTAGGAGTCATCCTAGGTGAACCACCTCAACTTGCTCAGAGGAGTAGCGGCTGTACTCAGATTTCCTCCTGAATGACCGGTTTTGTCACAGCGCATTTTATCTTATTGATCTATATACTATAAACCCATTTTCTTAAAGGCAGTGTTTAATCTTAAATTTTAGCTGCTGTAACATAAGCATTCACAAAGTTTGGAGATAAATAAAGTACATCTTATGTTATTGCACACAGTCTACGATTCTTTTTTTTTATGCCTGCCTTTGTACATGTGAGGCTTTTCATGTCCAGATCCTTGACCTCATTTCTCTAAAAAGACAAATATTAATGAGCTTTCATGTTAACATGGCTCACATAACCTGAAGCTTAGTGATCCATTTGAAAAGAGGACACCAGCTCAACCTTAGGTAAAGCTCACATGAACCCAACCAGGGAGCTCATGAGAAAACCATCTAAACCAAACCACACCCTGAGAAAAAGGGGGTGGGTGTGCATGTGTTTGTGTAGGCAGAGGGTGATTGAAATTGGATTACTTGGTCACAGCAGGAGAGCACACGGCAGAGTTTATTTATAGACAACTCTCTTCCAGGGAGAGGTGAACATGTTTCCACAGGTTGCTTTAACCGCCAGCTTACACCGAAAGCTATTCAGGCGAAGACCAACCACTAAAAACACCCCCCCCCCCCATTTCAGACAGCGAGTCGGGCACAGGAGGAGGAAGGAAGAGGATGAGCTGAAGCGAGAGAGAAGAACAAGTTTTTTTTCCTTTCTTTTTAAAGGTCCGTCTGTTCTCACCTGAGGAGAGCTGCTCCACTTTCGTGTAGTTTAGGCAGAGGATATCGTTAACCCAGGCAGTAATGTCATGCCTGCTCATAGTCTCCTGGGTTATTGAGGTAGAGTATACGTTGACCGCCATCCCCCAACTGCAATAGAAAGGAAACAACACTGAAAAACAAAAGCTAGGTTGCTGTGATAGATGTCCTATTTCTTTCTGTCTCAAGTCAGTTTGTTGGTCTTCAAAAATGGGACAACTTCTTAAATAGGTTAAGATTTTAAGACATGGTGACAAGGGGCTGCTATTTACTGTGAGACGATGTATTTTTTTTTTTAAAGTCTCCTCAGAGACTCAGCTATCTGCAGTCCCTGGGAAAGTGAAATAAGAATTGGTAATACAAAAAAAAAACATCAATAAACAGTTTATACTAATGCAAATTCAGTTGACTATTCAATATACAATAAAACAGCCCATCTTAAATTATTTCAAAGCACAAAGACGAGATCTAAAAATCAAATCAAATTTTAAAAAGGCCACAAAAAAAGATGTTGGTTAATTAGAACAACTACTGGCCAAACAAATCCTAACTGCTTTGCTCATGTTTAGCCCAATCAGTTAAACTATACAGAATTGTATAATCTCTTAAATAAAATCTTCAGCCTGGAAAGCAAACAGTGAGACTGCATCTAGACATAGCACACGAGTTGATCTTTAGCATTTCTCCACATGCCCAGACTGACCCGCAAAGAAGCCCAGCAGCATAAAACATACTCTGAACCCCCCAATGCCACCCGACCCCTGGCTGCTACATGTCAACAATACTAATGTCCACATTATCATCCTCAGGTGTGACACACAGAGTCCAAAGCCCTCCCTAACAGTCTGTCATAGACTGTTAGGCAAACTATAACACAAAGCAGTAGAGGTGCAGATAAGATCACAGTTTGATACTGGAAATACAAGTTTGGGCTTGGAGATTGAAATCTGGCATGAATCAATGTTATCTTGGGCAAAATGATCTCTGCATGCAAGACTATCTGCTTAACAAGATAAGTCACATTAAAATACCCACACAGCAGTGGAACACGGGACAAAAGCACAGCAATAAATTCAAGAAATTACCCTGGGTTTGTGGGGGTAACTTTGTCTGCAAACTCAAAGCAGATTCAATTATCTCAGCATAAACAGTTCTTTGCTATACACTTTAAGAAACAGTCATATCTGAGCAGGGACTCTCCGCCTTTTGGTTTTAGAACTGAAAAGGCTTCTCGGATGAGAGGTGAAATGTCTTTAAGAAGTCGCACTGGGGCGCACTGACAGTCTCGCCTCTGTCAGTGCGCCCCAGGGTGGCTGTGGCTACAATGTAGCTTGCCATCACCAGTGTGTGAATGTGTGTGTGAATGGGTGGATGACTGGATATGTAAAGCGCTTTGGGGTCCTTAGGGACTAGTAAAAGCGCTATATAAATACAGGCCATTTACCATTTTTTACCATTTTTATTTCCAAGCTCCTTAAAATATCTGAGCAGTTTTTTGTTTTTTTTAACCAAATCAATGACTGAGTGAGGTGATGATCTACTGTAGATACTTATAATACATTGCAGGATGAAAAAGGGATCTTTTAATTTGACTTTTCCTGCACAGCAGAGCAGACAGAAGCTGTTGCAAAGGCTGATTAGATTTGATCTGATTGCAAAACTGTGACTTTGGAGGCCTCAGGGCACCTGCTCTACTTGCAGTATGCATACTGAAAGCATGCAATGTGCCAAAGATACATCAGTAAACTCAAACTTTGACCCTTAAGCTACACATTTAAAAGAAGTCAACAAAATGGTATTTCTTCCTAATTCATTTGTTAACTCTTAGCGTGAGATATTGTGGAAGGAAAGTCTGCACATGAGTGGACATCCCACCTGAGAATATCTGAAATATGAAAAAATATCATTCAGAGAATTGCAACAGAGCATCATAATAATGGAAATGAGCTCTTTAAAACACAATCAGTAATATATAAACATGCAAATATGTCATTGCACATATTACTGCAGCTTTATAATGTTCCTGTGCAAGGAGCAAAGCTGTGCAATGAATTAAAAAAAAGAAAAACTAAATTCAACTACAATATTGACTTCCAACAGCAAGGAAAGCAAGATAAAGCCGTTATTTTCTCACTGACTGCTGTTTTTGCCTTGAGGCCTTCTCTAAAACCCACAATCTCACTTCTCCAAAGGCTGTTCGCAGGTCTACAATCCTCAATGCAAGAAGTCGAGCTGATCTCAATACTGATTCTAATTTTTACAACATTTCACAGACAAGAACAGCTGCATTAAAAGAAACACCCATCTGGTGGTTTTATAACCGCGATAATATGGTGCCAAATCATCCCCCTCAAACAGACACCAGGATATGCAGCATAATAATAACCCCAACCATTCAGCGTTAAAGTTGGGTTATCAGACCACTGCAGCAGCAGCAGAGCCTCGGCTCTAGGAAGGAAACTGGGCCAGCCCCTCTCCATGTCAACAAAGCGGATGTATGCGCCGCTTAGCATGCTTTGTTAGCCTTGCAGGGATAGCCTGCCGACACCAGGGCTGGGCATGATGCTTCAATTCAATAAGAAGAAACCGGGCTTGTGCGGCAAGTCTTAGTAGAGGGTCTCCCCCTTACAGACACCCACAGTACAACATCACCCAGACACATATTAATGGCGACAGTGGGGGGGATTCAGTAGCTGCGGAGTGTCAAGTCACGATGGGAATATTCTAGCAGCAGCAGCAGGAGGAGGAACAGGAGGAGCTGTCTGTGTAGTCCTGTCATCTGACAAGCTGGACCCACTCCTCCAAAAAACGTGCCTGTACCATTGCGCACCACCAAATACAATAAAACAGTTGACAGCGTTACATGCTAGTCCCAGCAGTGGTTTCGGGTGCTACTGGAGAAGCAGGGGGAGGGTTTAAGCTAACTTAAGAGCGATTTACGACACAGTGTCGGGTACAGAGGGCTAACATGACAGGGGAGTGTGATTGGTGAGTGGGGGGAAAAAGCGGATGGGTGCAGGGAGGAAAACGCCGAAGAAGAGGAGGAGGCCGGATTGCGGGTTTTTTGGGGGGGTCTGCAGCGGTGTGATTTTCTTTTCCTGACATTAAACCAAATGCGACATTTCACTGGTTTACCTGTAGGCGCGCTCTCCTCGCACTGTATTTTTCCTGTAAGGAATGATGTTGGTTCCGTTGTCCTGGACGATGTCGTTGTTATTCTCTCCATTTGGGGAAAGGGCTTGGGTGGGACCGGGCATTTGGGTCTCTAAAATGTTGAACAGAAACTCTGTTCTCTCTCTGGCCGAGGGGGGACGAGGGAAAAAAAGCAAGAGGAACGATGCAAAATGCTAAGAAAGTGCCGCACCTCCGGGGCTCTCTCTCCTTCTGTCTGCTTATTCCTCACAAATCTCTGCCCTAATGACGTTGCTGCTCCCTGTACCACGTGACTCGCGGGGTTGGCTGCCTGTTTTCCCTATGGTGGGCTATTTCAGTACACCAAAATTTCATTGATTACTTGAGTGCTGAAAAGTATCGCCGGGGAGGTCAGATCGATGTGTGATGCTCGTCGCTTTTTGAGGTGCGGCGAGGGGATTTATTAAAAGAAGGGAAAAAAACAACAACAAAAAAACTCAGAGGCGACAACCAATCAGCTAAAAAGAAGGGATGGGAATAAAGGGAAGACGCAGCACATCCACTTCACCTTGATTAGATCATCAGATAGCTGATTGGTATTAAAGCAGATGTAGGCAAACGATACCCAGTAGTGTTGGTGATGAAATCATGTCCATTCATGGTGTGTGATAAAATGCTGTTTTGATTACTAACTGAATTTCAGTCAGAAGTTTACACACGCTCATCATGGGCATGAATATCAGGTTAACTTTTAATGATTTCTTTGAGTTGTTCTTTTTCCAGGGTGGAAATACTGTACAGCATACATTTTTAAAAAATATGGTAGTGGTAGCATTATGTTCTGGGGCATCATGTCTAGTGGTACTGGTATTAGGGGTGGGGGGGTTGGGGGGGAATCGATACTGTGTAGTATCGTGATATTTTGTTTGCTAATAATGTATCGATGCAGGGACAGCAGAAATCGATATTTTGTTACAAAAAAGTTTTCTCTGACTTTAGAGCACGTTGATCCTTTTTCTGAGCAAGAATCCTGACACTGTCCAAATGTGTTTAACTTTTTTTATGGCAGCAATAAACATGACAGTTTACTTATTTTAATTTAAGACATGTTTTATTTTAATTAAGTTCAAAACTTTTTTATTTAATGTAAAATTATATTTTGTTTTAATTTACTTTCAAATTCTTCAGTTGCTGAATGGGCTGCATAGTTTTCGTAAATTGCTTAGTTCAGAATAGCTATAATTGTACCAGATGGTTGCATTCAGTTAAGTTGGACTAGACTGTAATACAAACCGTTCAGTTTGTCAACAATAAAACTGACTGAAATGAGAGAAAGACTGAGTGCGAGACTTTGATATTAGATAAAATTAATATTGATAAAGTTTAACTTTATGTACAGAATCTGAATATTGCAAAATATTTTTTTTTTTAAAAATCGCAATAATATCGTATCGTGCGTTAAGTATTGTGATAATATCGTATCATGGGATGTATGGTGATTCCCACCTCTAACTGGTATATTGCACAAAGTGGACAGAATAATGAAGGAAGACTATCTCCAAATTGTACAACTTCACCTAAAATAGACTCGAATAGACTTCCAAAACCCAAACCTCAATGCCATTGAAAATTTATGGACTACGCTTAAAGCTAGGTCTGTGCCACGAAACCAACAACTCTACCGATTCTCGTAAGAAGTGTTCAAATATCCAGCCAGAGTTATGTCAGAAGTTTGTTGATGACTACCAAAAGAGTCTGGTTGAAGAGCAACTTGCTAAGAGACATATAACCAAATTTTAGTGGGGGTGCATGAATATTTTTGAGGGTCTGCGGATTAGAGTAAATCCAAAATAAGTTCAAACCAGTTCACAAAATTTAGTTTTTTAAAAGTCATTTAAGATTAATGGTTTACAACAATTCCACCCTGGAAAAAGAACAGCTCAAATGAATCTTTAAAAGCTACAAATTAGCATAACCCTCATGACCATGATGCATGTATGCAAACTATCGATCTAATCAACATCAATTACTCAGCATCATCACCAGTAAATCAACCGAGAACAAGAATCCATTTTATTTTACTTTTTAAATGATCCGAGGAATCTACTTATAATCACAAAATGTCCAATCAGTAAAATAAAATAAAAAAATATCACCATTATTTGGGATGTACCAATTGTGAAGCTAATGTGAAAATCAAAATTATGTCATTGACGATAGTCATTTCACCTTTGTTCCAGAGAAACAAAGCAATCCATCCATGTTCTAAACCGCTAACCTAATTTGGGGTCACAGGGGGGCTGGAGTCCAACCTAGTGGTCATACAGTGAAAGCCAGGGTATTTTATTATTTTAAATGTAATTTTAATTATCATCTTGTTTTTTAATTTTTATCTTTATTTTATTTATTTTTTTACTTATTCAATGTATCATTTCTGGCATGTCAAGTGTACACCACTTCGTGTTCAGCTGGGAGTTGTTCTGAAAGTGCTATATAAATAAATTGCTTCCTTGCTTATACTTTTCTAGCTCTTTAGTACATTTTTTAAAATCATTTAGCCATCAAAAACTGATATGACACAAAATATAAACACACCACTTCAATCACTGATACAAGCCACAAGGACAAATACTGGCCTTTATATATCAGTGCATTATAACCATTACCCAAAATGCAAGTGGTGTCTTCAAATGTCATGAAATCTACTGTAAATGTAAATGTAAAGCCTTTGAAACTGTTATTTCATCTTATTTTTGATTTGATTGCCTGACACAAAAGGGGAAATGAATAACAAACAAGACTATATGAACAAATATGATAAATCAGCATCAACCATAATTTGAGAATAGGTCCATTCCCAATTTCAACATTTACAGATTAATTTTCTGTTCAACAGCAAACCAATTAATCAGTCTATAATTCAGCTGTAACGTACGTTAAAATGTATAAAATGTGTGTAATAAATGTAATTATAAACCACATGAACATCATAAATCAGTATGCACGGGTCTGTGGTTTAAGCGCAAACAACAGTCCTGTGGTTGCTAAGCTCTCTTCTGTTTGTGTTACCAATGTGTTGGTGTTAAACTGCTTTGTTTTGTGTTGCTTTTATCACTGCTGGGCAACCACAGTGAAATGGGACACGGAAATAAGGTCTAAAAAGTGAGCTCTATATATTTTAAACGCAAGTGTGAGTTACTCTCTATTGGTTTTAGTTGTTGTACAACGCTTTGTAACTTTTATGTCTGTAAAAGGCATTACATAAATAAATGTAACTAATACAAATATCTCATTTGTATTGATTTTAAAAATGAATTTCTTTTTCACACTATAAGAATAATGATTTGTGCAAATAGCCCAGCATTAAACTGATAATATCAAAATAGAGTCAGTCCAGCCTGTTATGGTTAGTAATCAAGAATGCAATAGTACACATGACGGTATTTAACAGGGATGATGAAAAGCTTTATAATAGCAGGGGACTACGCTACCTGCTGAAAACAGTTAAGCAAAGATGAAGGGATTTTATGCACAAACTATGTTCAAAGGACAAAGATGAAGCATTTCTGCTCTTCTGTTCTATTGCCTTGATTTCTTTCCTACTGTTTCTTATATTTTCTCTGCCACTCCTTTATTTAGAAGACCCAATTGCTATTTGAGTCTGAGGACAGGCCTTTACAGTTTACATATAAACTTAAACGGTGATGGTGCAAGAAATACAGGTACAGATTTTGAGGTCTATCCTACAATCTATTCACCACCATCATTGGTCCAAAGGTAAACTCACACCTGAGGTGACTGGACTTTTTCATGTCAGCATGTTTTTGGCCTGCAATGTAAGGGAGCAACTTCCGTTAAACATTAGCAGGGCTTATTTACTGGAATTTGATCCTCAAGTCAACACTCACTCTGATGCAGGGGCCAAGAATTTTCTGTCAAAATCAACAATACTGCTTCTAATGTCAAATACTCACAATTCAGAGTCAACAGTCTTTGTGCTCAGCTGAAACTCTTAAATAGAACTCTGGTGCCACCATCAGGCCAAAGCTGAGGTCACAGTTATAAATCAATAAATTTAACTCTAGATGAATGTTTTAAAAATGGAAAACGATATATATAGTCCAGTTTTATTCACTTCTTGTCTTTTGATAATACAATTTTCAGTATAAATATAAGGACTTTCTTTTTTAATTGCCCCATATGTACACTCACAGGCCACTACATTAGGTACACCTACTACTCATTAACATACATTTCTAATCAGATCATTACACAGCAGCAGCTCGATGCATTTAGGCATGCAGACAGGGTCATGGCGACCTGCTGAATTTCAAAAAGTTGAGAATGGGAAGGAAAGGCAGTGTAATCAACTTTGAATTTAATATGGTTGCTCGTACCAGACAGGCAGGTCGGAGTATTTCAGAAACTGCTGATCTACTGGGATCCCAACATAACAGTCTCTAGAGTTTATAGACTAAATAAATGGTCAGAAAAAGAAAAGCTCATTGTCTGAAAATGCCTCAGTGATGCCAGAGATCACAGGAGAATGGTCATACTCAAAAAGGCAAACTGAGGTTACAATTCAGTCACCAAAATGGGACAACAGAAGATTGGAAAAATGTTGCCTAGTCTGATGAGTTTCAATTTCTGTTGCTACATTTAGATGGTAGGGTCAGAGTTTGGTGTAAAAAAAACAAAACCATAGAGCCATCAAGCATTGCATCAGTGGTTTAACCCGTTTTTGGGATATTGTCGTGGCACACTTTGGGCTCCTGAGTACCAACTGAGGATTGTTTAAATCCCACAGCCTGCTTCAGTACTGCTGCTGACCCATCCCTGTATGACCACAGTGTACCAATCTTCTAATGGCTGCTTCCAACAGATAACATACTATGTCACAAAGCTCAAACCCATTAGTTTTGAAAGCAAAAGGAGATCCAATCCTGTACTAGCATGGTGCAAGTGGCCAGTGAATATACAGAGTTTTATTAACTTAGTTATGAAATGATATAGGACAACAGCTTTTAACATTTTTTGTATCCAAGACATACCAAAGGGCAAGTCAAAGTTTAAAAAGAACACTTGTGCTTACATGTGCAGAAAATAGTCATCTGTTCTCTATCATCTGAAATTTCATTAGTTCTTTTTTTCATTATACTGCCAGGTGATGAAAGCACTTTTGAATATAACACCTATCTTTCTTGCTCCACTAGCAAACAGCTTTAATACAATCAAAACAACAACAACAACAACAACAACATCTTTTATGTCATCTGCTGAAGGCTGTGGACATCAGCTTTTCCAGTTTGTATTTTACAGACATACACAGCCAATACAGTTGTTTATATGTAAAAAAAAATCTATCTCTGTTGGAGAAGCAGCTGAGGCATTGAAGGCTGTACTACCCAGGGGGTGCAGTCAGTTTGTTAGCTTGGAAAGCACCCGCTAACTCTTCCCAAA